CCAGCTGCTCTAGTAAATTTTCCAAGGTAACAAACCTCATATATGTTTTAGTCTTTTACGTTTTAAACTTTTTGAATTTTTAGGTTTCAATGTTTTTTAGACGAATAACCTTTGGGGTTAGAATTTATAAGCTAAATTTATAGTGATTTTGAATATGTTCGTCTGAATTATTTTTCTAATTATACCCAATCTTATTTTAAAACAACAACGACCCGAATATCTAAAATCGAAAAATTCATAAGGTCTATACTAACTATGGATCCAGAGGAGGGCTGGGCCGGGGCCCGGGGTGGCCACCCCCTGGATCCGCCACTGCAGGGTATGGTGCTTCTGTTGGTGCAGACAAGCGCAGGCTGGAATGGAGTTCCCTCTTCTTTTGATCTCAAACCCTAATCTGCTCGACTGGAAGAGAAACAAAATTGTGGAAAGGAAAATGAGTTTCGAGTTTGTTTGATCAGATACAAAACATAACTTAAACGTTGTTACACCCCGCTCTTCCCAAAATTCAAATTGACTATTATACCCTTGGGTCAAGTTTCACCGTAATGTCGAGGAGGACTTAAAATGTGAACTATCGGTCCAAGCGATGTTGAATTTCGACATAAAATGAGAAAGTTACTGACACTCTAAAACACAACACCTAACAATGGCCAAGTGTAACCAATGAAATGGACTGCAGTATAGTGGCACAAGTAATAAATATCGAATCCACGGGTCTCTAGAGTTACTATTACTCAGCTTCAGTTCATTATCTAGCAAACTAGATTAAGGATTGATTTATAAACTACTCTACTGACTACTCTACTAATTACAAGTTGGGAACTCACTTAGGTATGATTCCCCCTAGCTCCTCAATTAGGTCCAAGTTGCAATTACTTTTGGTTGGTCTACTGTTGATTAAACTGCGGAAGATCCTAAATTAGTTTGGAATCTCTTAAGCTGACCAAGCCCTCTTAGACAGAATACCCGGCAGGCGACTAGCCTTCACCGGGATAGACTGCTAAGGAGATTCACACAGATCTCCACTACTGGAATGGATTCTAGTACAAAGCAGTGAATTGGTTGACTCTCGCACAACCATTTCACCACTATCAATCAAGGAAGCTCTCTTAACCTAATCAGGTTCTATCTATCATAGGTTAAAGCAGAAATCAAGAGAATTTGATCAAGATTCAATTGACTCAATAAATCATGCCTCAATCGATTATAATAAAAAAATATAGCATCCAAAACTTCATACAAGAAAGATCCTAACACATGGAACTAGGGTTCCTCAAAACCTAAGTGAAGGGAAGTTACTCCATAGAGAAGAGAGAGACTGCAGAAATCTGATCTAGATCTTTAATCTCCATCTCCAAGCTTGATTCTCGAGCTCCAATTGTGAAGAAATCCTCCAAAATAGCTCCAAGAATGTTCCCAAGTCGCTCTCTCTCTAGGGTTCATCCCTTGGGTGTTTGGGAACCAAAAACCCAGCTCTACCCTTTCCTTTTGCTGAAAATCGGGTTTTAAACAGAAATTCCCGATCACGTGGGCAGGCCACACTGCCGTGTGGCTTTCCCAGCTGCCCGTGTGAAGGCTCGGTGATTTCCACACGGCCACGACCCACACGGTCGTGTGGAGTTCCAGGATGCCCGTGTGGCTTGCTCAGCCTCTGTTTAATGCTTCGTTTCTCCCTCGTCCGGACTCCGAATCAGTCGCCGTTTGATCCCAGACGCTCGTAGTATCGTCCTCTTTCTTTTCATGACAAGCTTGCATGATTATTTTTCCATAAAGTGAGGTAGAAATCCATTCTTCTTCAGGTCATGCCCGAGTTTCTTCTCCCGAATCGTCAATTGATCTCTGATTGATTTGAAACTTGCGCCTATGCTTCACTTTATGTGCTAGGACCTGAAATGTGACAAAGGAACACAACCTAGCATAAAATAGGCCAAAGAAGGGATAATGCAAGCTTAAACGATCAAGAAACAAAGGGGAAAACATGTGCAAATATCGAGTCATCAGTTACGGACATTAATTGAGTTTCGGATTAAACTCACCCGCAAGTGTGAATTTCCACAAATAACCCTTTGACTAATTATAACCCTAGAACCCTTACCTATCCCACTCGGCCTCACCATAAAACCCTCGCAGCCCTTCTCCACCGAAAGCGAAATCAAAGCAAAGTTAGGGAGACAGGACATGATCATTCTCTCTACTGCGAGAGGTGCTAGCTTAAGCAAGCAGGAGGCGATGCTCTCCGGGGAAATTAAAAATAAAGCGGCGCTACTAGGAGAGGTGCTAGCTTAAGCAAACAGGAGGCAATTTCTCATCACAGTAGGAGCCGACTCAGCAGGTTGACGATTCATCAGGAGATTGATAGGCGGCGACCATTACAGGAGGAGGCCATTATTAAGCAGGCATGAGGCAGCACCTAAGCAAGCATGTGGTGTCGGAAAATTAGGGCAAAAGCAGATAATCATTCTCCCTACTATGAGAGATGCTTGCTTAAGCAACACATGATTATTGCCATGTGGCACGGACGACTGACGAGGGGAAGCAAGCATGAGGGCCGGCGGATTCAGGGCGGCTAATAGCGACCAAAGTAAAGCCGGTCCATTTAATTTCATTTGCCGCTGCTCGAATTTTATTCAACCAAGTACGAGTGTAATATGTGGAAGCGAGTATGGAAACTTTGGAGCAAAATCAAGCCAGTTCCGACGGAAGTAAGGTGAGTGTAAAGGGGGTAAATTCTACGCCTTACGTGTTCATTCAAGTATTACGAGCTTTAAGTATTTTGATGAAGTGATTGTCGTTGTTTGATTGTGCTTATGGTTGATGATATGTTATTTTGTTTGAGCTATGTTTGAAGTGAATGTGCATGAGTTATTATTTACTTTAAAGCTTTACGTTTATAAGTTATGGTTAAAGTTTAAGAAACAAGTTCTTTTTAAGAAGTAACTCACCTTCAAGAAGGTAATGTCGTTTTAAGTGTTTTTAGTCACTATCGCCAGTCCGTTTCCTTTTAATACATTTTGAGATAGAGCAGCAGTTATGCTCTTGAGACTTTTAAGATGAGCAGCAGTTATGCTCTTGAGAATCGTAGTGAAGAGCCACCACGATAAGTTTAAGATGTTAGGGGGCTGAATCGTTACGACTCCCCTAACTAAGTTTAAGTTTAAGGAAAGCCTAGATGGCTTCTCATACGTATGAGTTGGCAACCAGACTAGCTAGTGAGGGATCCCCGTGTCAGTCTAGTATTTAAGTCAATATTTGAGCTTTAAGAGAGGAGAGTAACTTCAACTCCCTCAAAGTTTAAGAGTTAAGATTTGAAGATTGGAAGTACAAACAACTTCCACTAGTCAAAGTTAAGTTTTTAAGTAAAGTACTCAAGTATTAGAATTTTCAAAACGTAAGGGCGTAGACTGACCCCAACTCACTCACCAGGCCTTAGTAAGGGAAAGAGCGAGAACCAGATCGGTAGCAGCTAGCTAAAGGAGCAGTTAGAGAGCAGCGAGTTCGAGAGGAAAAGTTTGAGAGCAACCAGCTAGAGGAGGGCAGTGCAAGCGTCACGGAGGATGCCTAGTTAATATTTCGAGTAGCAGCAATGACAGCGACTACCTAGTTATTTACATTTTATGATTATGAGTATAGACCGGAGATCTTATTGAGATTTAAAGTTTGAGTTTAATTTGCCCACGTGTTAGGGCTTTGCTCTGAGCTACAAGTGTGTGTTTTCAGTAATTTATTTATGAAAATTTTTCCCACTGCAATTTGAGATTTGAGTATTTTATTTATCAAGAGCATTTTAGTAAAAGTAATACCCGGCCGGGTTAGGGTGTTTCAAACGTTGAAATGGTTATATGTGATATTGGGTTAAAGGCCTAGTCGTTATTTGTTCTGTTTTGAATTAAGCCATGTTCAGTTTTCAACACAACACCGTTTCTCTCTCAATCTCTTCTTGCTTGATCAAGCTTCCCTGTCAATACTCAAACCTGCAAAACAGAGTGTTCCTACAGAAACAGAGGTAACCTGCAGAATCAATATATAAACTGTTAAGTAAAATTGACACAAGGAATTTTTCACGTGGTTTCCGATACTGAGAATCCAGTATCTACTAGTCCACGGTCAAAGGTTCTCTGATTTGAGTTCTTTGACGTTGCACTATGATTGTTGATCCGATTACAGATTACAAGCTCAATCTCTCTGTGACTCCCCGTCACAAGATCAGAATCCCTTATAGAACTTTGCTCCCTGCCTATTTCCACCTTATGGATCACACAAACTATCACACTCGACAGTTCACACTACCTTTCACTCAAAACAGGGACAATTCTCTCAATCTCCAAACTTTGAGTTTTTTGCTCGAAAAGGGTTACTTCCCAATCTAATTTGCTGGCTTATATACTTTTAGTTTGCTGACCGTTGTCTGATTGATTTGGGAAATCAATTGTGGTCTCGTTGATGAATCTGATTGATCTCCATATCACCTCTTTCCTTTTTCCCAGCTCCTCTGTTCTTCTTCTTTCCTTTAATTTATTTGTCATTGCCATTGACCAAGCTTCATCTAACAAACTCCCCCTAAGCTTGTCATTGGCTCCTTTTATCACCTGCACACACTTAACACACAGTTGGTGCAGCCTGTTCTGACAAATAAATCAAGGTTGTAGCAACAATGTCTTATTTGGACAGCACGAGGAAACATTGAGGAGAATCCCTTTTATTCATTATTAAAACATAAGTGAAACACGAGACTTCACTGACACATCATAATAAAACCAGAACTCAGCATGACTCAATCATCCTAACACATACTAAGACTCTTGAAACTCTCCCTACAAAACTTAATGATTCCTAGAACTGATATTTTGGAGTAGACTCATACTCCGAGATGCCGTCTTCCTCATCAGGTTCTTAGTCTAACCTCATGGGGTCATTAACTGCTCATGCCTCATACACAAACTTGGGCCACATCAGATCTTGTTGCCTAAGCAGTTTCAGAGTAGCAGTATGTTTCCTTGAACCTGAGGATTCTCGTTTGATTACAGATACAGCTGCATCAACCAGAGCACTAGCTAGGTGTTCAGATTGATAGGTTTAAGGACTGATCATGACTCCCCCTGAGCCAGTGATAGGCTTTCGGGGGTCAACAAGAGCACCAAGTCGATCCAAAACATGTTGCAGACGTAATTCATCCAAGACATTGCAGATGGTGACTTTGTCACACAGGTCAATACCAAGTTGGTATAAAAGTTGGTGATCTGAGGGCCAAAAGATAGTGGACCACCAAAATATTCCAGGCCAAACTTAATCATGTGTTGGAAGATGAGAGACGCATAGCTGATTGAACGACCGACTTTGGCATTAGAAATGATTCAGAGATCAGTGGAGTGAAGAATGTCAGTGTTGGACAGATCACGAGGGAGGAAGCATCGAGTGATAAAGAAATGAAGCACCTTCAGGTCATCAGGGAGACGACCAGCCGCGAGTGGTGAGGGAAAGAAATGGCCTATGTCACGAGTGTGACGGGACAGAGTACCAAGGAAATCAAAGTCATGAGCAACAAACTCACTATCTGTGCCAGCCTGTAGTCCAGAGTGCGGACAATCGAGCAAGGCCGAGAGGAGAGTGGGATTGACTGTGATCTCATTGTTAAAAACATATGTTGTAAAGAAGGATGGATCACACCCAGGACTACACTTGAGATTGACATCAAACAACCTTACCGCCTCAGGACAATGACTGAAGCGCATGTTTTCAACCAAAGAGCTCCAGCCGAGGCCATCGAGAAGTGATGGAATGTTTATGTCATACTTGGAAAACCCATAGGGTTGAATGGAAAAGGAAGGATAGATGGGATGATCGCGAAACCTGCGAAGGTATCTAGAGTAAGTGGCAGCATTTCGGAAACCTTTGTTGTTAAACACAGTTGCAGGATGCAACTGAGCATTGTTGATAGCCATTTGGAGCGACGGTCGGAGTGAGAGTTTTAGAGATGGCTGAAGATGAATATTCGATAGAACCCTAGAAGCTCATCTATATATAAGAGAGGATTTACCCAAGCGAATATTCGATAAGGAGAAACGAGGAAAGATGAGATTTGACAAGTGATTTAATGTTCCTTAGGGAAGGTAAGTTTATATTCTCGAGATCCTAAGGATTCAATGTCAGACAAGGTAAATAAGCCAAGTTCCTGACGAATGGGAAGAAATTTTTCTGCTCCTAGAGGTTTAGTGAAAATATTAGCCCATTGCATGTCAGTGCTAATGAACTCAAGAGAGATTTTGCCTTCTTGCACCAAGTCACGAATAAAGTGATATCTTACTTCAATGTGCTTAGTAAGAGAATGCTGGATCGGATTTTTCGCCATATTAATAGCACTCGTATTGTCACACAATACTAGTAATGAGCCTATAGCTACCCCGTAATCTTGAATTTGGTATTTAAGCCAAAGTAACTGAGTGCAACTTAGTCCAGCAGCAGTATACTCTGCCTCGGCAGTGGATAGTGCTACTGAGCTTTGTTTTTTACTTGCCCAAGAAATCAAAGAAGTTTCTAGGAAATGACAAGTACCAGATGTACTTTTCCTATCAACAACACAACCAGCATAGTCTGAATCACTATAACTGATTAGCTCTAGACTAGCATCACAGGAATACCATAATCCGAGGTGAGATGTGCCAATCAGATATCTAAAAACCCTTTTTACAGCAGTCAGATGACTTACTTTAGGACAACTTTGAAATCTTGCACATACACAAACACTAAACATAATATCTGGTCTACTAGCTGTCAAGTACATTAGTGACCCAATCATACCTCGATACATTCTGTCATCTACAGAAAGTCCGGTTTCATCTTTTGTTAATTTGACTGTTGATCCCATAGGGGTGACAACAGCTTTGAGATTGTTGAGTTTAAATTTTTTTAAGCATGTTTAGAAGATATTTAGTTTGAATAATGAAGACCCCCCTTTTTGATTGTTTAAATTGCAGTCCTAGGAAGAAGTTGAGTTCTCCCATGAGACTCATTTCAAAAGCCACTTTCATGTCTTGTTCAAATTCTTTGCATAAAGCACTACTGGATGACCCAAAAATGATGTCATCGACATATACTTGTACTAACGAGGTGTGAGAATCTTCATTTTTAATGAACAAAGTTTTGTCAACTGCTTCTCTACGAAACCCCTTTTCTAACAGAAATGTACTTAACTTACCATACCAAGCTCTAGGAGCTTGCTTAAGTCCATATAAAGACTTGTTAAGTTTGTACACATGATATGGGAATTCATAATCTTCAAAACCAGGGGGTTGAGACATGTATACTTCTTCTTTTATATCTCCATTTAGGAAAGGACTCTTTACATCCATTTGAAAAAGTTTAAAGCCTTTAGATGCAGCAAATGCACACAACAATCTTATAGCTTCAAATCTTGCTACTGGTGCAAAGGTTTCATCTAAGTCTATTCCTTCTTCTTGACTATAACCTCGAGCAACTAACTTGGACTTATTTTTAGTTATAATTCCCACTTTATTAGATTTATTTCGCCAGATCCATTTTGTTCCTATTATAGCTCTATTTTGTGCTCTAGGAACAAGTTCTCACACGTTATTTCTTTTAAATTGATTCATTTCTTCATGCATTGATTCATTCTAGTACTTATCAGCTAAAGCTTCCATAGACACAAAGGCAGAATGCACATAAGAGGACTTAGATCGAGTAACAATACCTTCTTCTGGATTTCCAATGATGAGGGAAGATGGATGACGTCTTCTGATGTGAGGTTGGACTTGAGGCTCATTCTCATTTACTGAATCTTCTGATTTGTCGTTCATCTGATTACCATCAGTCATGGTTTCCTTTGTGGCTCCTGCTGTTATTACTCTACCAAGTCCAAAGTCTTCAGAATCATCTAGGCTATCTGCACACTCACTGGAAGATTCATCAAATATAACATTGATGGACTCCTCAACCTTGAGGGTCCTTTTGTTGTATACTCTATAGGCTCTACTGTGGGTAGAATAGCCTAAGAATATTGACTCATCAGACTTGGCATCGAATTTTCCCAGTTTATCCTTAGTGTTAAGAACAAAACACTTGCATCCAAAAGGATGGAAGTATTACAGATTCTGTTTTCTCTCATTCCATAACTCATAAGGAGTTTTATTCCGTTTAGATCAAATGAGAGCCCTATTGGTTACATAACAAGCAGTGTTAATGGTTTCTGCCCAGAAATGTTTAGCCAGACCATAATCATTTAACATGGTTCTTGCTATGTCTATTAAAGTTTTGTTATTTTGTTCTACTACCTTATTCTGTTGAGGGGTTCTGGGTGCTGAAAAATTGTGTGAAATCCCATTCTCATCATAGGAAACACCAAATAAGTCAGATATGAAATCTCCTCCATGATCACTTCTGATATTAACAATTTTGACTCCCTTTTCATTTTCAACTCGCTTAGCAAAAACTCTGAAATTTTCAAAGGTTTCATCTTTTGCAGCAAGAAATAAAACCCATGTAAATCTAGAGTAATCGTCCACAATAACAAATGCATGTTGCTTCTCACCTAAGCTTTTGACATTTGTAGGTCCAAATAGGTCTAGATGAAGTAATTCTATAGGTCTTTTAGGAGAGATTAAGGTTTTGCTTTTGAATGAAGATCTGGTATGTTTACCTTTTGCACAGGCTGCACAGAAAAATTCCTTTTTACTATATATTTTAGGAATGCCCCTAGCAAGACCTAGGCTCACTAATCTAGAAAGGATCACTATACTAACATGACCTAGCTTCCTGTGCAATTCCAATTAATCATTTTTATCTACACTGACTAGACAGGTTTCATTGAACATAGTTTTATCATTTAAGTCAATAACAAACAGTTTCCCTTTCCTCTTACCTGTGAATAAGATATGCTTACTCAAAATATTTTCCACATAGCATGATTCTCGTTGAAATACTACCCTGTTATCTGTACCACACATATGACTAATCGAGAGCAGGTTGGGTTTAAGACCTTCTACTAACTTAACATCATTAATAGAAGGAGTTATTCCAACCTGACCCTTTCTTAGGATGCTAGTACTGTAATTATCACCAAAGTAGATTTACCTTTTCTTCCCAAGATAAGTTTAGAAAATAACCTCTTTGTACCTGTCATATGGTGTGAGCACCCACTGTCTAGAATCCATTCACTGTCATCCATGCTCACTTGGAGACAGACCTGCATAACCATTGTCTTACTTTGTTTTTGGTATCCAAATTTGCTTGGATACTTTTATTGTTTTATTGAAATATCTCCTAACGTGACCAGTTTCCCCACAGTTGTAACATATATGGTTCTTCAACTGGTTTTCCTTCATTATTCTTTTGCTACAGTTTGCAATGTAGTGACCATTCTAATGACAGTAGAAACACCCAATCTTTTTCTTTTCTGAGTCATGTGTGTTTGAGATTCTACCTTTAGGTGATTTTACAGCCCAGCCACCTATTTTAAACTCATTTATACTTTAATTACTACACTTACATTCTTTATGAAGTTGTACCTCTTTTAAGTTGTTGAGTTCTGACTCAAGCTTTTCATTTTCTATGATATATTTCTTTAGTTGATTCTCTACTTCCTGTTTATCCTCTTGAAGATTATTATAGGCATTATTTACATCAAGAAAGTCAGATTTCAGCTTTATGTGCTTATGCCTAACATTCTCAAATTCAACCTGTATATTTTTAATGGTTTCAGTAATTTCCTCAGTTTCACTATAGTAGTCAGAGTAGTAAATGGAGTTACTTACCTGAGAAGTCAGTACATCATCGTCGCTTTCTTCCTGTGCCATATATGTTGTGTGTCTAACTTCTTCATCCTCATCTTCTTCTTCATTGCAGCTCCAAGTAGCTGCATATGCTTTTTCTTCCTTCATCATTGGACACTCAGCCTTTATGTGGCCAAGTCTCCCACATTTGAAGCATCCAGCTTGTGCTAATTGTTTCTCATTTGATGTACCTTCCTTTCTAGTCCTTGGCATCAATCGACTTGGCTTTGATTGATCTTCTTCCCTGAAGCGATTCATCATTCCTCCTCTTTTCTTTTCTCTCCTTAGTCTTAGCATCTTTGACACATGCTTGCTTAACATAGCCAATTCCTCATCTTGCATCTCATCTAGACTATCCAGATCGTCTTCTTGAGTAGCAACTTTGAAAGCTATGCTTCACCTGTCTTTCTTGGGCTCGTCAGTCTCTTCTCTATTCAATTTTTCTTCATGTGTGATCAGGGAGCCTATAAGCTCATCGAGACTAAGCTTTGTTAGATCCTTTGATTCTTCAATTGCTGTGACCTTAGGAGTCCATTTCCTTGGTAATGCCCAAAGAACCTTTCTGACTAGATCACTACTCTCGTACATAACCCCAAGATTCATCAGACTATTGACAATAGCCGTAAATCTTTCATTCATGTCTTTGACTGATTCGTCAGGCTTCATAGTAAAAGATTCAAAATCTTGCTTCAGACTGTTGATTCTTGAGATCTTCACATGAGATATACCTTCATGAGCCACTTGTAGCTTATCCCAAATTTCTTTTGCTGATTTGCACCCTGTGACTCTGTGATACTCCTCGGGTCCCAATGCACAGTACAACAAGTTTGTGGCTTTCACGTTCAGCTGAAAATTCTTCTTATCTGTGTCTGACCATTTTCCTCGAGCTCCTTTTACTTCCAGAGGCCCATCTAGGATGATGTCCCATAGATCTGGGTGCGTAGAGCAGATGAATAGCTCCATTCTGTTTCGCCAGTGCCCGTAGTGTACTCCTTCGAACCTTGGTGGTCTTGTTTGAGAAAAACCATCCGCCATGAAGATTGCCCTGACATTTGCACTTGAACCCATTTTCTCCAAAGGTGGTTAAGCCTCGTTTGTTGGAGCCGGGCTCTTGAAGTCTAAGCTTTTCACTGCTCCTTGTCACTATGTTGTAATAGCGTTGACCACTAAAACTAGTCGAGGGACTTTTCGTGGTACCTCTTCGTTTCTTGGCCCGTTGCCCACTTTCCACTGCTTAGGACCAAAGACCTAATATTATCCTATTATCATAGCTACTGGCATCTGGTGACTGTTCCTCTTCCTTTGGAGATTCATATTTCTCCCCCTTTGTTTGTCTTAGCTTATTAGATCATCCACTTGTTTCCTAGTAGTAAAATCCTCGTACTACTCTCCCAACTCCTTCAAAATCCTTGAGGTATTCTCTTTCAATTGGCACCTCTTTGCTGGTGTTTGGAGTTGAAGTCCTCGCACATTTGATTCTACCTCCACAGACCTTTGCAACGTTCCTCCTTCCTTCTCTAGTTCGATGATGATGATTTGTTTGCTAACGTCCGAGTAGTTGGTTAACTAATTGAAAAACTACTATCCATCATGTCGGTGAGATACTTGGTCTTGAGAGCCTTTGAGATTCTACTTGGGTTGGTCACATTTCTTTCATCCTTTCTTTATTACTGGCGATCACCATAAGCCTAAATCTCTCATTTGACAACCCACGACCTGTTAACTAAATCGCGTCCTAGCCTATTCTTAAACAATCGCACTCTGAGCTACCATCCCTTCGTGTCGTGCTATAATAGTTATTCACCTCAATATGATTAGAGTAGACTGGAGATTCTATAAACTCTTAAAAGAAGATCCTCGACTTATTTTTTTCTTTCCTTTCAAAACAAAAACCTTGAAAACTGAGACCGATATTCCAGTATTCCTTGGGAACCAAGGAATAGAGGAAGACAGGCTCTGATACCAAAATGTAACACCCTAACCCGGCCGGGTACTACTTTTACCGAAATGCCCTTGATAAATAAAATACTTAAATCTTAAATTGTAGCGGGAAACATTTTCATAAATAAAATACTGAAAACACTCACTTGTAGTTCAAAGCAAAGCCCTAACACGTGGGCAAATTACGCTCAAACTTTAAAATCTATATCTGATCTCAAAATAATCTCCAGTCTGTACTCATAATCATAAATGTAATTAACTAATAAACTCTGAAGTTGTTGCTGCTGAAAACCTTGACTAACCGTCCTCCGTGACGTTTATACTGCTCTCCTCTAGCCGGCTTCCCTCGAACTCGCTGCTCACTTACTGCTCCTCTAGCTCCTCAAACTGGTGAGTGAGATGGGGTCAGTCTACGCCCTTACGTTTTAATACTTGAGTACTTTACTTAAACACTTAACTGTAACTAGCGGGAGTTGTATGCACTTCCAATCTTAAAATCTTAAACTCTTAAACTTTGAGGGAGTTGAAGTTACTCTCCTCTCTTAAAACCCAAAAACTTGACTTAAATCCTTTGACTGACACGGGGATCCCTCACTAGCTAGTCTGGTTGCCAACTCATACGTATGAGAAGCCATCAAGGCTTTCCTTAAACTTATACTTAGTTAGGGAAGTCGTAACGATTTATCCCCCTAACATCTTAAACTTATCGTGGTGGCTCTTCACCGCGATTCTCAAGAGCATAACTGCTGCTCATCTTAAAAGTCTCAAGAGCATAACTGCTTCTCTGTCTCAAAGATCTCAAGAGCATAACTGCTGCTCTATCTGAAAATCTCAAATGGCAACGGACTGGCGCTAGTGACTAAAAACACTTAAAACGACTTCACCTTCTTGAAGGTGAGTTACTTCTTAAAAAGAACTTGTTTCTTAACCTTTAACAATAACTCAAACATAACGCTTTAAGGTAAATTGTACAAAATCACCTCATATCACCTCAAATAGCACAAAATCACCTCAAATCATATTTCAAGCAAAGCATAAATAATCAATCATAAACATAACCAAGCAACGGTAACCAATTCGCTAAAACACTTAAAATCGTAATACTTAAAAGAATACGTAAGGCGTAGAATTTACCCCCTTTACACTCACCTTAATATCCAGTTGATTTACTTGAGCCGACCATCATCCAAGGGTTGATCGCCTTAAGCTCGGCCCTCCTTTACTTTAGATGTGCACAGAATCTCCATCCTGGGTGCTTTTAAAAATTCTCTTTACATAATCATCCATCTCTTGGTAAATCCCTGATGCTTAATTGATAATTCCATGCCTTGTACATTGCTACCTGAACAACTCCATATACCAACGACCATCATCCCATTGGAGATGATGCCCGACCACTTCCTTCAATCAATGACTCACAGCAAGCTCCCAAACCATTCTCCAATCCTGACCAGTCACATAATTAACATGTACAGAAAGACTTAAAACCTTCTCAAACACGTGGAGCTAGTCCCTTTCCAATCCTCCTTTTGAGAACCCTTTTGCACCACTATAGCCCTTGATATAACGTTGCAAAAATCCAGCAACGAGGGCAGTCCAGGCCACAATATCTCGTCTGAATCGGGAATTGAGAAAGTGGGTATGAACAATCCTTCCTTCTGCGAGCTTACAGAGACATGTACACTTCTTGAGGAGGGCGTGGTAGAGAGAGCGGTCGGGTTCAAGAGCCCCACCGTCGATGAGGTCCAGCACATGAAGGCCGGTTCCTTAGGCGTGCTGGCTCTTACACGCAAAGAAAAAATCCCACCAGGAGAAGAATTACTTCCCTTCCTCTGCTGTCCGAGTCGTTACCTGCCACCGCACTTGCAAGAGGATGGCAACGTGGAGAAGCTGGGCGGAATGGGTTCCTTGGTTTATTTTGGGCGGCGGTGGTAGCTTTAGGTTTTAGCTTAGGGTTTCCTCATTTAGTGAATGGGGATGGGTTTTTGGCATGGGGGGGTGGGGGTGATGGGAAAAATACAATGAGGGCCAAGCGCCCTCTTGGCCAGGTCCTTTTTATTTTTTTTTACAATAATATAATAATAATAATTATTATTATTATTTCTAATCCGCGGTTGCAATCCTTAGTACGTGACCGTTAATCCAACCGTTCACGTATTATGGTCGAACCTGAACCCAAAGGTCAGGGTGTAACACTGAGTTTGATGAGATTGAGGATATTGGATGCAATCTTTTGAGTTCTTAGTTCAATTACTTGGTTTCTAGTTGGACTTCAGTCATGTTTGCCTTGATCTTACCCATTTTCTCTATTTTCTTCGAGTTCTCCAATTGCTTCTTGGCATGATTTATATTGCACACCTCCTCTCTATGTTCTTCTTCCTTGGGGTTTACCTTGCTTGCTTCTTCTAGGGAGGATATCCTGTGGTTCCAACATGTCAACTAGGTATTCCTTGAGCTCCATCATCGGGTTCTGAACAACTTGCATAGCCTTAAGTTGCTCCTGGGTGGCCGTTGTCCTGAAAATTCTCTGCTAGTGGTGGCCAATTGTGCATAGATCTCCATTATCTTCTCTACATCAATATGAAGGATTCTTCAACTGGCCATCATGTTAACCTCCTTAGCTTAATGATCATCTAGTCCTCCATAGAGGAAGTAGGCATGTTGTTCCTTCGTGAATCTATGATGGGGCACTCGTGTGGTAGGTGTCTGAATCTACTACATATATCATGAAATGGCTCTCCTGACTTCTGATGAATCTTTGAGATTTCTTCTTTGAGATTTCTTCTTTGGATATCCTTTTAAAGTGTTTGGAGGGTGCATATGAAGCTGAGCTCTTGCCTTCCCTTTAAGCGAGATAAAAAAAGCCTCAAGCGCACTGTTTCTCCTTCTTGTCCTTCAATGGTGGAGCAGACATCGAGGAAGCTTCTGATATGTTCTATTGGATCTCCATCATTTCCTCCGTTGAATTGAATTGATGATCGTATAATCTGTATCACGAGGGTTTCAATCTTGACATTTGTTGTATGGCGGATGCTTCTTGTCACGAATCTTGATGTTTGGGGCCAAAAATACTTGAAGAGGGTGTCCATCTTGCTCCTTGTTCTAATGCCTCAATTCCTAAAATAAAAGTAAAAAATTGTAATATTCACACAAAAAGTAGCTTGTTTCGAATACACAATCAAAAGTCCCTGACCACGGTCCAAATACTTGCGGGTCATTTGCTTCATGGATTTGAAAAATCTGGGTTTTGGTAAAATCTGGAATTTTCAAAACCATTGATATATGATGTATTTGGTGGCATTATGGATTTGAACAAGTATATTATTTTCTTGTTGGATTTGATTATGGATTTTGTTTGATTAGATTTGTAAATATGAAATACAAATTCCCATGTTACCCTTATCTAACTATATTCTATTATAAACAAATAAAAACAATTCAGTACATACAAATAAAATTTACTCTTTACCACTACTTTATGAACTAATAATTCAACTAAAAATATATGAATGTATCACAATTTAGCACTCTAATTACACTAACTCTCATGTGACTACTAATCAATCATAATCCCATATGACTCCCATGTATCATGATTCAACTACAAATATAGAAAATTTTCAGCATGTTAGCAGACTGAGTATTTAATATTAGTATGTGAGATATTAATATTAGTATGACCTATTTGAATATTAGTCTACAAAATTCCATCAAAAGCGTCGAAAAAATTTATAAAGTGTCGAACAAAAAATCAAAAGTTTCAACAACTAATAAAATAGAAGGGTAAACATGGAAATAACAAAATGTGTAGGTATGAATTTGTAAAAATCCATCATGGACTTTAATCATGACCAAATACCACATAAATAGGTGGAACTTCTAAGTCCATGAGGTCCAAAAATTTGAACCCCAAAATTCTATGGCCCCCATTGATTTGTTCCTCCCAATTCCACAAGACATATATACTTTTGTCTAAGTCCTTGCTGATCACCAAATCTCTCAAGCAAACAACCCCTTATGTAGTACATCGTGTTATAATCCTAAAGATGCCCTAGGGTCGTATTCTATAGGGTCATTTGATGGTAACTCAAACTAGTTGCTATGGTGTTGAGAATTGAATGATATAAAGTAAAAACGGTGGGTTGAGGTGCCATAAGAACCTCGTGTAAGACACTTAGTAAACAAAGATTGTGTAAAAGTAAAGAGAGTTTAAACAAGTAATCTTAAGACATGCAATTGCTTAGGAAGTATCATCTCGATAAACATGCCTACTTTCTCATTGATAAGATGTATATGCATCAATGCTATGGTGTCACCCTATCTCTTCCTCTAAGGCCAACCTACCCGAGCTTTCGCCACATGCGATAGGAATTTAACTAGCTAATGTGTACTTTCGTTTCATACCACTAACTAATTAATGAAGAGCAAGTAAGTAAGGACGCCATCATTAAGTGTGGGCCTCTTGAGCCATAACAATTGTCTATGGTATTGGAAATCTCAAAGCATCAAACATCATCATCATTCGAGTATAGAGGGGGTGTACATTCCCTCTATAAATGCCTAATTATGAAGCCTACTACACAAGAGTATTTTCATATCTCATGATAGTAGTATAAACAATACTCATAGTAATGCACAATAGAAAGACAAAAAGCATAAAAAACTAGACCATCGGTGCCGTGAACCAAGCCATTGATTCTCCAGGGATTCGTATTAATTCATAGAAAGCATTACATGGCATATCATAGAATCAATATACCAAACAATAAGGGTTTAACTAACCATGCGAGATAGAAAAAATATTACCATAGATGAAGTAGGCATCGATGATGGAGTCATTCTCTCCTTAACTCGACGGAGTTTTAATTAGTTTTTTCTAAGTGTCAAATTCGGTTTCTATCATAGGTTTAAACACCTATTTATAGTACAAGAGAGAGGGGGGTGAACTAGGATCTTTCCTCCTAAACTCGGCCAGAAGCTACCTAACACCACCAGGACTTGGAGTCTCTATCTTAGGGCAAAGTAAGACCTTCCGGACCTTCTTTTGGGGTTGGGCCAAGAGTGGCGGCTGCGAATGTTGTGTTTTTGTATTCTTTAATTCGCATTGATATTTGCCCCATCTCGTGCATGCGATGTTATTACCTGATTTGACCCCATGTTTAGTATATACTCCTAAAGTATACTATACTCCAAGTACTCTTAGTGAGATATCTCTACCTAGACCAAGAATTAAATCGAGTTTGGGGTATGATATTATACCCTAACCTCTAATGGATAAACCCCAGTCCCCGATTCTCTAAACTCATACCAGAAGTTCAATTTTATAAAAAATACAAATTGAACATTGAGATTGGTCTGAGCTCAAAAAGGGAGATCTAACGGCCAGATCACTTGGAGTATACTATACCCCTGAAGTATACCAGTCATTACTATATATGGTGCCTTCTACGGTATCCCTGGTGAAATCCGGGGTATCGCATACCTTGAGTATGAAAATGCTATCTAGACCTCGAATTAATAGGATTTTTGGGCATGATACTATACCCTAACCCTTAATGAGTGAACCCTAGGTCCAAATTATCTAAATCATAAATTATAAACTCTAAGATTGTGCATTGATTTTTTTTGCCTATATTTGGACGTATCACAACTGTCGATTATTGTTTCTAATTAAATTGATATTGGGATAATGATACTATTTAGACAAAGAAATTTATTTCATTTTAAGATTCAATGAATCTCATGGTTTGGGTTAGAAAATTAGGGACTTGGGTTTACCCATTAGAGGTTAGGGTATAGTATCATGCCCCAAACTCCGATTAATTCATGATCTATATAGCATAACTCAATGGGGCGTACGCTAGCTTGAACCAATATATATATATATATATGGCAGAGGCTAGCGTACGACTGACGTATGTTGTACGCCTGTGTTCACACTTGGGTTTTGCACTTCAATATATTTCGCTGAATCAGAACCATCAGTTATTATTTTTTTTAGATTAAATGAATCTTGGGGTTTGGGTTAGGGAATTAGGGACTGGGGTTCACCCATTAAAGGTTAGGATATAGTATCATGCCCCAAACTTCGGTTAAATCATGCTCTAAATAGTAAAACTCGACCGGCGTACAATATATGTATATATAACTGGTGTACGTTAGGCGTATAGTATACAACAGGTGATCTAACCGTTAGATGTACTTAGATGAGCTCCGGCCGATCTCAACGGTCAATTTTTGTTTTTCATTAAATCAAACTTCAGGTTGGGGTTTAGAAAATCGATCCCTAGGGCTTATATATATCAAGGTATCCACCTTGTCCCACCCCATTATTTCATCACCAATGCAGTCCAAAACGCGCTTTAAAACTTACCGTTTTATGCTTCTAGGTCACCAAAACGCTTTCATTTCTATATAAAGGGGTCGTTTGGAGAACAAGATTTGGATCGTGGATTTATTGAATCTATAGATTTAGCAAAATGTTATGTTTTTTTGCTACTTTTTGCATGGTGGATTGTAACTTCAGAGATTGTAAATCTATAAAATCTAGAGATATCAAATCTCTCATAATTAGAGAGATTCTACATCTTGATTTTGGATATTTTCTCTCTCCTATTATATCTCTTATTTTTTTTCATTTATCCCACTAAATACCCTTACCAATAAATTCTCAATATTTTTCGAGCCAATCTAATTATTTTGGTGAAGGATAAACATGTTATGTGATAAAAAAAAGTAGAATTTCTTTTTTCATTGGATGTTAACAATCATAGTTACCAAACAATGAACATTTTCAAATCTTTTTTCAACAATCAAGAGAGTTAAAATCTTTGGATTGTCTAGAATCTAGAGATTTAGACTCCAATTCTCCAAACGAGCCCAAAATCTTTAGCATATAAATCGGACTAAATTGCATTTTGAAACTTAAAAGCTTA